TTTTGCTTGAATCTGAATGTAATAATAAGGCTATATACGTATTTCTGGAGGATGGGGGGGGGAAGTGTATCATTATTTTATTGTCAACATTCATGGCATGTGATAAATATGATTGCCTTTAATTATCTCACTTATTATGCAAATATAGGCTCAGGCAAATGAGTCCTCTATTGGCTATTATTATTACAGCCTGTTTTCAAAGAAATCTTCAGTTTGTTTGAATTAGCTATTATTTTTAATAACTTGTAAAATTTCTTATATTCCTCTATTTAGAGTAGTAACTGCAATGCGAGCTCTACATACATGTCCAGAGAAATTGTTTCTAAAATTAACATTTATACCCATGTTAGCATCTATATTGACAAGGTGTAGCTGTGCAAATCAGGGAGATTAAAGACTTAACATGTTTGAACTGACCACCTCTCTGGGATCCTTCAGCATGATGCCAAACTTCTGTTACTTCTTCTCCCTGAGCTGGCTTGTAATAAAAAATTGCTATTGTTCTGACTAGTTGAAAGGAGAGTCATAGTATTTGCCTATTTTATTGCTTCAGTGCTTTGGAATGCTGATACAGCACTGGAGTCAAAATCAGAAAACAAAGCAATTTCTTTACTGATTGCCCAGTCAACAATGGCCAGCCAAACACTTTACAATAGATACTGGCTTATCCTCAGAGAACATTCATTAACCCTACTATCATGGACCCCACACTAAGGGTGACCCATTAAAAGTCCCAATTTCCCCTTCGTTGGGCTAGAGGGCAATGCGTCTGTTCTCCCAGGCTACATTTTGTTGAAAATAATTAGAAATATTAGCAAATTAGTTTACTTACAGTTACAATTTTTGCAAAGATGATAGAAAATACTGGATGAACAGTTCCATTGAGAACAGAAGCCAATGTCCCCAGAACCACAAAAGGCCATTCAGACTTACTTAATTTCATGATTTTTAGCAGAGAAACTTCAGGAAGACTTGTCTAAAAATAAAATATTTTGGTTAAGAACTACAGTTTGAGAGCATAACGAGGTGGAGGAAAGTTAAAAACTCACTGCCCTCGAGTTGATCGAATTCATAGCAACCCCTTCTTGGGTTTCTGATGCAGTATCACTACAAAAGTAGATTGTCTAATCTTCCCTCCGAGGAGTGGCTGGTAGGTTTGAACTACCAGCCTTCTGGCTAGTAGTCAAATGCCTTACATACTATGCCACCAGAACTCCTGGAGGAAAGTTAGCCAATTATAAAATAGCTATAATGTAAAACATCAAATATAATGGTGGCAGAGTAGAAAGTACATTTTTTCTTTGAAAAAGTTCACCTATGCAATTAATGATAATGTCAAAACATAAAATTAAAGAGCTTGACTATTTGTTCAATTTACCACCTTTTGGCATTTTGCTTATCATAAAAAATTGAATCTACAAGTTTTAATACTTAAGAAGCACAGAAGAACTGACAGGCATATTTTTCTTTACTCCTCTGAGCTGGGTGAAATGTCATATTCTGGGATAAGACAAAAGCTAGTTGGAACTGAGCAGAGAAAACTCTGAAGGTAAAAGTTTTATTAAGATTTTAAGCATGAAAGTTTTCCAGTTTCACGGTTTATTTACAGAAATACATATATATGTATATAATATATATATAACCAGGCTTGTTTTAGAGTTTCTATTTATAACTAAAATGTTGCAAAATCTGAGCAAATTACTTAAAGCTGCCAAGCCTCAACCATCTTTCCAAGGAAGATGATATCAGTTTCTATCTTACAGGATTGTTTTGAGAATTAAATGAAGCAAAGCATATAAAGCTTAGCTCAGTATTTGGCACATAATAATAATAATATAATAATAATAATAATAATAATAATAATAAGCCCCAGTTGCTATTGAGGCAATTCCAAGTCATGGCAACCCCACTTGTGTCGGAGTAGAACTGTTCTCCAGAAAGCAATGTTGGCCAGTTTTTTGGAAGTAGATTGCCAGGCCTTTCTTCTGCGACATCTCTGAGTGGACTCAAATCTACGTCATTTGGTTAGCTGCCGAGTGCATTAGCCATTTGCATCACTCAAGACTGTGGTATATCCTCAGCGCCCAATCAATGTGAGTAGCCATTGCCATTGCTGATGCTAGTGTTACAGAGGAAGGATTTTATTACACAAAAACTTAGGCCTTTTTCAGAGAAAGTACAATACAAGTAGCTATTTTGGTAGCTACCAGCCATTCCTGGGATTGTGTGGAGGGTGACAGGGGAGGTCATGGTCACAGTAGTCAGAAGGTAAATAGTGTATAATGCTCTCTCCTTAGACTTGTCTGCCATTTTTAGTGAATTTATTCAGAAACTTATAAAAATTTTCTGAATATCTTTGCAGAATAATTATTTAAAATAAGAAAGCAGGCAATGAACTACTTGGCATTTCTTATGTCAAAATAATGCCATTAATGAACCTAATCAGCACGGAATTCTTCAGCAAAAACTAGAACATAGTTTATGATTCTTGTGTGAATCTCATTCTGCAACTATATTGTTTGAGCAATAGAACTTTTAAAGTTCTAACACCTTTAAAGACTATTTTGAGAATGGTTAAACTGTGTTATATTGGATTACTGAATAATTTGACCATATTTATTATCTTTCCTTCTGCAGTTTTTTGAAACTCATTGTCCAAAGGATATATGGAAATTAAAAAATTTGCACATGAACTCTTTGCCAAGCACTGAACCTGGAGGTAAGTGCTTCACAAAATTACCTCATTTTGTAATGAAATTAAGGCTTAGCGTGTCCTAGTAAATTACAGATCTCAGAAAGCAGGAGGGCTATCCTGTAAAGATTGTTTTTTTAATTCTACACCATCCAGCCTCCTATAGATTAATTGGTAATACACAGGTCATTTAAAAGAATATGTCCTTTTGCCTCTGGGATAATATACAATATCAGGTCCAGGGAATTGCGTATCACTTAAATACAGTTACCAAGGCAGAACAGAGTAAAACAAAATAAGACAAAAACATGGTGAAAAAATTCAGTAAAAATATGACAGATTTACCTAAATATGTCACAGGTTAAAAGCATGTTTTATGAGACTCTGATATAAAAATATATGAAAATCTAAATATTTTTAAAAAGGTAGAAAAAGGCCAAAAAGATAAAAACAAACTTACCTAAAGAATTTAAAATTTCATCTGATATATTTTTTAAAGCTTTATGGAGTTGTAATTTTCATACAACAAACCACATATACTTAAAATGTACACTTTGATAAGCTTGGACATAACTACTTCTAGAACCATCACCATAGTCAAGATAATGAATGTAACCCCATGACTGTCTCTGGACCACCTCCTAGCTGCCAATATTTCCCCTGCAACCATTGGTATGCTTTCTGTCACTCTAGATTAGTTTACATTTTCTAGAATTTTATATAAATGGAATCAAACAGTCTGAACTTTTTTTTTTTTGTCTGGCTTCTTTTGCTCAGTCAAATGATTTTGAGATTCAACTCTACTGTTGCATGAATCAATAGCTCATTTCTTTTTATTGCTGAGTATTTTCCCACTGACTGGATACATCACAATTTATTTATCCACTTACCTGTTGATGTAAATTTGCAATGTAACATGTTTATAACTGTTCTTGCCCCATCAACCACTTCTGACATAAACAAAATCTTATTTGAAAACCTTCTTAGAGTGTCAGAGTGATGCTAGAGCAAAGTTTGGGAAGTAAATTGCCTAGTCTTCCTTCCAAGGAGTGGCTGGTGGACTTGAACTGCCAGCCTTCTGGTTAGCAGTCAAATGCCTTAGGCACTATGTCACCAGAGCTCCCCTTTTGTAAACTTAGCACTATAGTAATATTTTGTCATAAATGAATTCTTAATATTAGAAGCATAAGTCAAAATACAGTAGAGAACATGGGCCAATAACTTGTTGACAGTTGAATTATTACCTCTTTATTTTGGGTGAATTCCTCAGACTTGTCAGCAAAGTCTGGTTTGAAGCCTGACTTGATGGCATTCATTGAGCATGGAGGAATTGAACTGATATTTCTTTCAGTAGAATATGTCATGGATTCCATCTGCTCATCAGCTTTTTTAATATCCTTAAGTGAAGAATATACAGGTTATCATTAAAATAAAGCCTTAAAAATTCAAAGACACTTACTAAACATCCCTTCAAAACTATTACTGCCTCTGCTTCTGAAGGAGACATACTTGTATGCAATTTTTGCTGAGCTAAGAAGTCCAATTCATACTAAAATATCAGTGACTAACAGTAGCTTAATCTTTGTGCTTTCTTTTCAAACAAACAAACAAACAAAAACAAACCAAATCAAACCAGTTTCCATCCAGTCTGTTCCAACTCATGGTGACCCTATGTGTGTCAGAGAAGAACTGAGCTTCATAGATTTTCAATGGTTGATCTTTGGGAAGGAGATTACCAGGACTTTCTTCCAAGATGGTTCTGGGTGGACTCAAACCTCCAATCTTTTGGTTAGCAGCAAGCACATTAACCACTTGTACTATCCAGGGACTCTTGACCTAAAACAATTATACCACTAGCTAGAGCAAAGAAACTTTTGTGACCCCTTCCTCCTAGACTTTCTGGACCTTATAAAATTATAATATGTAGCCAGACACTTATATGTGAGGTTGGGGCTGGGCCTGAGAGACCGTCACACTTCCTGGGGCCTGCCACTGCCACAGTGGGACTAAAAAGTGAAATTAATAGAGTTGGCTGCTAAAGAATGAAAATTCAAAGAAATTAACTTAGAATTGTCTTTTAAATTATAGGATAGGACTAAGTTTTAAGCCACAATGCTGTCAGTCTAGTTTTTATTTTCCTGATTCTCAGCAAAGTGAGAGAGTTTTAGTGAAACAAAGGTGTTATGTTTTCTCTGCTCATCTGACTGGGGCATGAGTAAATCTGTGTGCTTACTCTGGATATCGTATAGTACACCTAGTATCTATGATGTCTACATAAACTGGCAGGTAACTCATATTTGAAACTCTGAACACGCTTAATTCTAGCCACTCCAGATATGGGACGAGGGAACAAGAAAGAAAAAAGTAGCTCAGTTAGGTTGATGGCAGGTTAGACTAGGGTGGGGGAGTAGAGTTGGACAGATGTAGCTGGATTTAGATGCACAAAGGGAATGTGTACAAAGAAGGCTTCTGGGAATACAGTAATTCTTTGACAAGCTTAACACTGTTAATCAGTCATTGAAAGGGACAATAAAGTTTAACCAACTTTGTACTATCTTAACATCTTTAACCAGACATTCCTTTAGTTATCACTTTTTAATTTTTTCATATAAATTTTTCCAGCAAGAGAAAAATATTTTATTATTATTATTCCCCCCTAAAAACTATTACTTCGTGGTAACTTGAAAATAAAATTTTGACTTCTTCTCATAAGAAATTTTTCTAAGGCAGAACTTTAACAGGTCAAAGGTAATTCCTTTTCCTGAGAGGGGTGCTAAACAAAACAACGATAAGCTCTGGTATGTACATAATCTCTTGTTGCTGGTTGTCATGGAGTAGATTCTAGTTCCTGGCGACCCCTTGTGTCCAGAGTAGAACTGCCCCATAAGGTTTTTAAGGCCATCACCTTTTGGAAGCAGATAGCCAGGTCTTTCTTCAGAGGTACCTCTGGCTGAGTTCCAACCACCAACCTCTTGGCTAATAGTTGAACACTTAACCATTCATGCCACCCAAGGACTCCTGTATATTTCTACCTGATTTTACTTCATTTTCACATATAAATTCCTAAACAAATATACCTGTACAGATTCATGTATATTCTAGGTAAATAATTACAGCATCTGTCTCCAAAAGTTTGATTGGGTAATGCTAATGCTACTACTAATAAAATAAAGCTTATTATGTGTAGAATATATTTGGTGTGGTGCCCAGAATACCACGGTTGTTCACTGAATATTAAGGACATTATTTTAGGTAGTCAGAGGATACTAATCCATTTTGAATAAACAGATTTAAATTTTTATGCATGTATACCACAAAGCACTTTTTGCTTTGGTTACACTGTGAAGCTCTTTAATCTAAAAAATAATAATGGATTTTAGTTTACTTTTAATTAAAAATAAAGATGTGCTATCTGGAAGAAAGATAGGAGTAGAGTAGTTGTGAAGAATCTTAAAACAGAGTTAATTGGACCACAGTTCTTTCCCTTCATTACTACTTGTATCAGTTTGAAAAGTTTGAACTTAATACTTTCATAAAGCAGTAAGTCTATTTTACTTTGGAATGGAAAGTCATGCAAATTCAATAGGTAAACGATTTCTAACTTTCCTTCTTTAAACCTAAGGCAACGTACTGCCCTTGAGTCAGATCCTACTCATAGTGACCCCTCCTTGGGTTTTGGAGGTGATATCACTACAGAAGTAGATAGCCCAACCTTCTTTCTGAGGAGTGGCTGGTGGTTATATGGACACAAAATCAGAATCAGGCAATTTTCAAACCAAACTATGTTTTCAAACTTTCCTTTTTACTACCATTGCTTCATAAGGTATGTTCAGAAATATTTCATTCTATCATAGTGGTGAAAGCTAAGATTTGAAATTTGGAGTTATAAGAAATTAAGAAAGAGCCTCCACCTCCAAGGTTGATAAGGAGATGGAGGCTCTTTCTTAATTTGTAAACTAACAATAATAGTGTTGTTGTTCTTGTTAGTAGTCGGTGAATTGATTCCAACTCATGGCGACTCTATGTGTGCACAGTAGAACTGCCCTACAGGACTTTCAGGCTATAATCTTTAGGCAGCAGATTCCAGGTCTGCCTTCAGAGACATCATTGAGTGGGTTCGAATTGCCAACCTTTTGGCTGGTAGTCAAGCACTTAACAATTTGCACCAACCAAGGACTCCAATGATAATAATACTGACACCAAAGATATAATCAGAAAGATGTTGTTATTGTTAGGTGCCATCAAGTTGGCTCCCACTCCTAGTACCCTAAGTACAATAGAACGAAACACTGCCTGATCTTGTGCCAGCCTAACAATCTTTGCTATACCTGAGTCCATTGTTGCAGCCACTGTATCAATCCATCTCATTGGGGACCTTCCTCTTTTTTGTTGACCCTCCACTTTACCAACCATGATACCAGTCTCCAAGGAATGGTTCCTTCTGACAACATGACCAAAGTAGGTGAGATGAAGTCTGGCCATTCTTGCTTCCAAGGAGCATTCTGGCTGTACTTCTTTCAGGACATATTTGTTGGTTCTTCTGGTAGTCCATGGTACCTTCAGTATTCTTTGCCCACATAACAACTCAAAAGAATTAACTTTTCTTCGGGCTTTCTTATTCATTGTCCAGCTTTCACATGCATATGAGGCAACTGAAAACACCATAGCTTGGGTTAGGTGCACCTTAATATTCAAAGAGACATCTTTGCTCTTCAGCACTTTTAAAGAGGTCTTTTGCAACAGATTTACCCAGTGCAATACACCCAGTGCAATATGTTGTCTCATTCTTGACTACTGCTTTCATTGGTGTTGAAACCAAGCAATGCGAAGTCTTTGACAACTTCAATCTTTTCTCCATTTATTGTGATACTGCTTATTGGTCCAGTTGTGAGGATTTTCATTTTCTTTATTATGAGATGTAATCCATTACTAACATTGCTACCAGATTGGTATCTTTAATCTTCTGCGATACACAGATGACACAACTTTGCTTGCTGAAAGTGAAGATGACTTGAAGCACTTGTTGAATCAGAAAGATAAATAAGTAAAATAAAGAAAAAGATTGAGAGTACTTATTTGTGGATACACCCTTGGAAAGCAGGCTTCTTCTAAATCAAGAAAGAAGAAAATCACTGGTGGCTAATCCCTGTCAAGTATATTAATGAGTCCTATAAAAAGTTATGTAGAATCAAGCAGAATGGATTGTATGGCATGGAGAAAAAGGAATCCCAAAGTAAGAGAGTTTGTCAGTATGTCTCTGGAACTATTTTGAAAGCTCATAGTGTTCACACATCATGAACTTTCTCATCTACTGTAAGGAAGCAGTATGTACACAGATATAGACTTATGTGTGCATCCCCTCATTCAACAGATATTTACTGAGTGTGCACTGTATGCCAGGCTCTGTGTTAGGGATATCCTACACATTAAATCTCAATGCCTTTGCCTGACTTTCAAGAACATCTACTACCTAACCTTTGTTACCCAATTCTTTCTCCCAACATTCATCTTTACTCAAGGAAGGCTGGGCTTCTTTCTGTCTTAGTTGCATGTCCACTTTCTTCTTTCCTCCATGTGGCTGTTCTTTGTTCCTAGTTTTCCTCTCCATCTCAAACTCCTGCCTTCTAGTCTTCAAAATCTCTTCTGTAAAACTTTCCTTAGGCAATCCACAGTGTCTCCCACCTGCACACCATCATTCTTGTGTCTTATTTCTACAGCTTGTAACATTTCTGTGCACAGTTTTGCATTTTTCCTCTGCAAGTTTTAAGTCCTTAAGTAGAGACTGTGTGTTATATTTCTTTGTGTTCTAAAAAAGGTAAGGATTGTGCATTATATTTCTTTGTGTATAGAGGTAGACAGTCCTGGATCTGCTCTATATAAGCCTTGAGGGCTATGTATGTCTGGCAAATACTAGGTATATGCGCCCATTAGTTCTTTAACCTCCATCATATCATCTAGCATAGTGCTGAGGATATTCGACACTCAGTGAACATTTCTTCACTGAGGAACTATAGATAAACCTTGATTGCTTTGTGAAATTTAAAATTGTAACCTAGCACTTCCACATTCTACTGTGATATAATCTTCTCACAATCCTCTAATGTAAAGTTTTATCATGTAAACATTACCTGTGACATTGCAAGTGAATAATATAGACCTTGTTTTGCCATTAGTTCAGCGTGTGTCCCTTTTTCCATCACACTCCCATCTTTTAGGGCCACTATCAGATCTGCGTTTCTAATAGTGGACAGCCGGTGTGCTACTACAATTGTAGTCCGACCTTTACTTGCCTATAAAACAATGGGTATAAAAAATTAATATAAAATTAGTAAAAATATAAAACTCTGCAATACTCAAGAAAACATTTTGTTGGAGTATTATCTTAAATATCAAAGAATATTATCTTTAGATATAGAAATTTGGAAACCCTAGTAGATTAGGAAGGCCAACAGAAATTAGAGTAAAAAGAAAGTCAGAAAGTTAATTAGATTTAAAAGCAGTGCAAGCGGTATCTTTATGGAAGTAGATTGCCCAGTCTTCCTTCTGAGGATTGGCTGGTGGGTTTGAAGCACCAGCCATCTGGTTAGTAGTTAAATGACTTAGGCACTATGCCACCAGAGCTCCTTTATAAAATCATTTGTTGTTGTTGTTGTTATTTGCCGTCGAGTCGGCCCCGACTCATAGCGACCCCTCCTTGGGTTTCCGAGGCAGTATCACTACGGAAGTAGGATTGCCCAACCTTCCTTCCGAGGAGTGGCTGGTGGGTTTGAACCACCAGCCTTCTGGTTAACAGTCATAGTATCTTATAACTAGAAGGGAACCTAAAGACCATTTAATCTGAATTATCTTAGTTGCATGGCTAGTAGAAACTTAAAGTAACTAACTTAAAGTAACTTAAATTCACTATTTCTCATTTTTTTAAATCTCTAAATGGGGTTATAATTTAGATGAGTTGGGTACAGAATCAAGGTAATATATGTTTTTAACTTTTTTTAAAAACTATCGTATACATACTACATACATGTACATAGGGAAATCTGGTAGCATAGTGCCTAAGGCATTTGACTGCTGTTCTGGTTACCTAGTACCGCTCTGACAGGAATATACCACAAATGGGATGGCCTTAACAAACAGGAGTTTATTCTTACAATTTGGGGGCTTTAAGTCCAAGTTCAAAGTGCCAGGCTCTAGGACTGGGTGAAAGCCCCTCAACCTTGGGGTCCAGCTCTGCCTCCTGCTCCTGGCCCACTGGAGCTAGAGGCGTTTCTTCACTCAGACAGCTGCTGGTTGCTGAGGCTGAGAAGCCCCAAGGTTGACAAGTAAAAAGGCACAGTCCTGATGTTACCAAACCACATGGCAGGCCATTAACTTAAGTCCACTGTAAGACCCAAGGTCAGCAGAGCACAGCAGGCTGCTGAGCAAAGACATGGCTACATGCAGGATCCAAGTGTGCCATAGGCTAGAGACCCTTCCCAAAGCTCCAGCTTATATACAGGAAGCAGACAACATACCCAAAGGCAGCTATTCAACCGCTCCCAGTAGATTCCACCATGGAGTTGATTACCAGTCTCATCATGGGGAATACTATATCCAGCTGCCCAGCCACTCAACCAGGCCTAGCCAAGTTGATACACAAACATAACCATCACAACTGCTAACCAGAAGGCTGGCGGTTCAAACCCACCAGCCACTCCTCGGAAGGAAGCTTAGGCAATCTACTTCCGTAGTGATACTGCTTCAGAAACCCAAGGAGGGGTTGCTATGAGTTGGTCTGACTCGGCGGCACATGACAACAACAACAACACATGTACATATATATGTATGCATACTGTAAGTACACAGATTGATCCTTTTTCACAAACTGAACGCATCTAGATGAATAGTGCCCAAGTCAAGAAACAGATCATAAGCAGCAACCAGTAGATCTCTTCATGTGTCCTTCTGGTCACTGTTGTCTTTCCTCCCCACATCAGTTCCTACCATCCACTACATGAGTTCTGATTTCTTTTTGTAATTCATATAAATAGAATCATATACTACATACTCCTACGTATCTGAGTTTTTTTGTTCAACATTATGTTTTTGAAATTCATCCATATTGTTGTATGTACATCTACTCCTCACTTATTGACTATCTTGTTATCTGACATTTCACATTTACAATAGTAAAAAATCTACTATCTGACTATTTTGCACATTAACAACAAATATCGGGTAATAATGAATGCAAAGTTCCCTGGCAAGGTCCCTGAAGAGTGAGCCCTGTGTGCATGTAGAAAAGAAGCTCATATTGCATAGTATTTCTCACCCAGGAGGGGAGAGAGGGCATAGTCTCCCTAAGACACCAGGTAGAGTGGTAGTGGAGCTGGAATAGGGCTGGCAGTGATAGGGATGAGATGCTGCCCTATAGGTCCTTGATGACCACAAAGGGCAGATGCTAGGGCAGCAGCAGCCAGTGTCCTGAAAGTGGGTCACCCTTGGGGCTGGTGAGGAAGTGGAACTCTGAGATCTGGCTCCAGCTCCCAGCCCCAAAGGGTGTCAGGACTAGGTTGGGCCATGGTCAGAAGGAGACCTGAGATGGCACACTTGAGTGCTCAGGGTCAAGGGACTGCACATCAGCTGAGCAGTACCTGTGCAGCTCCTTATACTTCCTTGATGCCCCCTTCTGGGGGGGGGCACAGGTGAGGGTGGAGAGAGCTACCTGATAGGGGGTAGGGTCAGTGGGTGAGTGGACAGCAGCAACTTCAGTTTAGGGTCAGGGGGAGAGGTTGGGTCTGGCTATCACTGCCTTGGAGGAGGCTCTGGATGGTTGATTCTCATGAGGACATGGAGGCAGAGAGGGGCAGATGACCAGCAAGAGTTGGGAAGAAGCTCCAGTAAGGGGCCAATGGGGGAATCCTGCAGGGAGTGTGTACCCCCCTGTAGCACTTAGGCTTCCTACCCACAGACAGGAAACCCCATGCCTCTGACAAAGCTTCCAAGGGTGTTTTGGGGTAAGTGAGCCAGGGACACTCATCTTGAAAATATGGTGAGGGCAGGAAAGGGAGGGGACCAAGGGTATGGGAAGAGGGGACACTTGGGTTCTGGAAGACTAGGCTGCCTTCTTCTGTGGACAGCAGTAGAGGCCGAGCTTTTCTGAGGTGATGTGGGGGGAGGAGGAGATGGCAGTGGCAGATGACCTCATTAGGGGCAGGACATTCACAGCACAGGTGAGGGGGTGAGGTGATATGGTCATCCTCCATTTTTGCATAATGTCAATTTTTGCATAATGACTTTTTCTTTGGAACCTAACCATATTGTTAAGTGAGGGATGGGTGTAGTTGTATATTGTTGTACATATATACTGCATGTACACTTATATGCAGCTCATTCATTTTCATTATTGCATATTCCAATGTGTGAATATACCACAATCTATCCATTCTACTGCTGATTGGCACTTGGGTAGTTTTCATTTTTGCTATTATGAGTAGGCTGTTATGCATGCTTATTTGATAAACTCATGTGCAAAATTCTATTAGATTATAACTTGGAGAGGAATTGTTGAGTATAGGGTATGCATATACTCAGTTTTATTAGATTCTGCTAAACAGTTTTTCAAAGTGGCTTTTCCAATTTGTAAACCTCCAGTAGGAAGTCCTTCAGGTAAAAGAAAATGATACTAAATGGAATTATGAATCTACACAAGGAAATGAAGAGCAGTGGGAATGGTAACTACAGGGGAAATCTATGTGTATATACTTTTTCTTATTTGAATAGCTTTAAAAATAATTGACTCTTTAAGTAAAAATAATTTACCATTGGGATTATTAATGGGGTTTATAAGTTATATCTAAGTAAAATGTATAATAACAATACTTTGAAGGTCTGGAGGGGAAAAATGGAATTATACTAACATAAATTTCTCATACTATATGTGAAGTGATGTGATACCATTTGAAAGTAGGCTGTGATAAGTTAAAAGATGCATACATCTTTTTATTATACACCACCTATGCACTAAAAGGCCTTGATAACTAATTTTCCTTTATTTTTTATATTGGAAAATTCAAGTACTGAGTGAATAATAATAGTTACAATGCTTTTAGTATTTGCTAAAATAATTTACTTAATCTCCCACTTACTTTTATGTATTAATTCCAAGCCTTGCTTATACATAGGCATCCTTATGAAGAATATAGCAAAATTGATTAAAATGTGATTAGCTTTTTGTTTTGCTTTAAAAATAAACTTTCTATTTTAAAACAGTTTTAGATTTACAGAAAAGTTGGAAAGATAGTACAGATAGCTCCATATACCCACATCTAGTCTCTCCCATCGTTAAGATCTTACATTTCTGTGATACATTTGTCACAACTAATGAAAAAATATGCATACAATATTATTAACTCAATTCTGTACTTTATTTGGATTTCCTTAGTTTTTACCTAATGCTCTTTTTCTATGCTAGGATCTCCTCCAGGATACAACATTATGTTTAGTTATCATGTCTCCTTAGTCTCTTCTTGGTTCTGAGAGTTTCTCAGACTTTCCTTGTTTTCAATGACCTTAACAGCTTTGTTTAGAACTGGTCAAATATAGTATGTCTCTCAGTTTGGGTTTGTTCTATGTCCCTAGCATTTTTAGAAGAATGACATTCAGTCTACACTAAACCCAATTCTCTTCTTCAAATTTCAAGTCTGAGTTTTGTTCTGGGTCTCAGAGAATCTGGAACTTGTCTAGAGTTCTTTAAATGAAGTGCAAGAATGCTGTTGTCGAGTGAGTGTGCATTAGAAGGCTGACCACTGCAAAGGTGAAAAGACTCAGGCACCCCGGCTACTGGCCTATACCCCTCCCATTTATTTAACCATTTCCTTAAAGTTACAAATGTTATTTTCTAAGAGAAAACAGATCTCAAACCTTATTGATGAAACCACGGAGCTACCAATTAGCTCAATGATTTATATTTTCAAACACTTCCCAAAACAAAATAATATATATAGAATTTAATTTAAAAAAAAAATAAGGGACATACGTAATGCATCATGCTCTAAGACGAACGAGAGGAGAGCCAGAACAAACCCATTGCTGTTGAGTCGATTTAGACTCACAGCAACCCTTTAGATAGTACTGTCACTAGGAGGTGGTGAGAGGTGCAAAGGGCACTGGGTGACACTGTCAGAAAAAGTGACACAAAAATGACTGTCTATAAATTTTTTGTGTAGTGTTCCAGCAGAAATTAATGTTTTCTACAAAACATTAATTATAGTTAGTTATAATAATAAAAAGACTTTTTGTAAGCCCAGCTTCC